GAACGAAGGGGTCTGTACCAGGTTGGAGAAACCCACAGAAACAGTTGGCCTGAAAAAGGGAAAGCATATCGACCCCAGACGCTCTTTGGGATGCCAGTACGGGACTGATCCAGCCTTCTGATCATGGATGCCAATGGGGAGGCCCCTGCACTTGGTGGACTTGGTGGAGCCCGGGTTGGGGGCCCCACCCTGCCTGGGGAGTGGTGGGTGGATGGGGTGGGGGTAGGTTGGAGGTGGGGGAGAAGGAATGGGGGGGAGGGGAGGGAGAGGGAGAGGACTTACATGTGAAACAAGCCTGTTCCCTAACTTGAAATAATAATAATAATAATAATAATAATAATAATAATAATAATATGAGAAAAAAAACACTGCTTCAGTATTAGTTATTTTTTCCATTCTGACTACCTTTATTTTATTTGGTGCCCAGAAGTTACAATGGCTTGACCAAATTAAAAAAGAAAGAAAAAAAAGAAAAGAAAAAATGATGTTTAAAGTAAACCAATGCAACCGAGTTTCTAACTTATTTTCTTCTATCAATTCTGGAATCCCAGGTTCCATCACTTGAGGAATAATTTCAACATGTGCTTAACTTTCATGTTTTCTTTTTAATGGTATAAAACTGGATCTAAGAATCACAAAACTTCAACATAAATGAAAACTACAATTCTGTCTTCAAAAAACACTTTCTTGGTATGTAGAATCATGTCTGCATTTCAGCAAAGACTCTTTTCATAAAACTGGCTGACAGAATTAATCAATCCTCACCCTCTTTCCCTGCTGACCTCTGCCAGGCTGTACACCCTGGGATGCTCCAGGGAAGGAAGAGGCAGCTCTTTGTAGGCACACCAGGGTCTGTGATTAACGTTTGGCTTTGAATTAAATAGAAGCCACAGGATGCATGCCAGCAGCAGCATAGTTTAATGATTGGAAAAATACTAGAAATGTCATTTTTCCTACACACAGTCTTGTCTGTCTTTGTATAGTGACGTGAAGGGTCACCTATTCTGCAAAGCCTTCCCGGGTCACTCCTGTGATGCTCAGCTATGTCTCCTCAGAAGGTCTTCAGCACTTCTGATCTGTAATACACAGTTCTTGAATGCTTGCTATAATTTTGAAAACCATTTCTGGTGTGAAAACGCAGTCTTCTCTTTATGGTAATGAGCTCACCGAAGGCAAAAAAGATGAGGGCAAACCTTATTTATTTAGTAGTTTTAAACTTGAGTCAGTGAAGAGCTTCATATGTGACTAGATACAGAACAGAAAGCTAAATATGTATTTTATAACTTACACAATGCACCCTGGGAGTCTTGGGATATAAAAATTGGTATGTGAAAGAATGTGGACAGCTTTCCTTTGTGGGTATCCATCCCACAGGCTTACACATATGCAAAGCACTGAGTTACATTTCCAGGATCTGTGGAAAACTATGGAAAGACATTGCTAAAGCAGGTCTATGGTTTGTTGGCCAAAAAGGGAATTCCAGTAATGCCTTATATGCTCTGCATATGTGCACTGTGTGTGTGTGTGTATGTGTGTGTGTGTGTGTGTGTGTGTGTGTGTGTGTGTGTGTGTGTGCCCGCATGTGTATTTGTGTATAAAATAGATTAGGTTTGAGTGTTCACTAAATATTCAGAAGAAAGCATCTCTAGGCAAGAAAATTTAGAATATGACCAAAAAGCAGCAACTTTGATTTTCAGAGCATGTACAAGGATTAGATCTTTCACTCATATTCTGGCCAGATGGTCTGTCACAGACTTTAGAACACCTCCAGGGACAGTGTCTGATTGGCTTTCACAAGGCTCTGAGAAACCTTTCTCATCACTACCTCCAGCCTTCAGCAGGAACTGAATGAAGGTGGCACTGATAGGACATGCAGCTCCTGCCATCATGTTGCTCACAATGTCTTCAAAAACCAATGGTTTTGCTAACATTATTTAGAGACTGGCATAAGATGTTCTGGAAATAGGGTAAAATATGTGGTCCTCAAAGGACACTACAGTGAACCCTGACCTGCCTAGAAGTTGGTCTGGTTGCTGCAGAACAGTAAGCATTTCCCTTGGTCTGGATATTTAAAGATCCCTTGGATGGATAGGAAGATAGCTGGTATTGCCCTCTGGCACCAACACAGGACATAATATATATGCCTGGTGGTAAAACAAACTTGCATCTTGGCCCTCTAGCACAGCAGTTGACCCACTGAAAATAAGCTTACAGGGAAGAAGAGCCGAGGCTTTGTGGTACATGTTATGGATTCCTTCATATAAAACCATTGAACAAATGCATTTTTAAGAAAGTGTGAATCGATATGTCTAAGATAAGTTGTGTCAGAGCCCCTATCTTTCTTCTATCTCCTCAATCAATGCCATGTCTAGAAACATTAGAGGGAGACTAATTGCATTTTCATTTGGTGCAAATTTAGGAGGGTCAATTTAATAACCTAGATCACAGATAACACTCAAATAATCTTGCCAAGGTAAAATAATAGGCTCAGACATAACCAGTGTAAGCATTTATTTAGCATCTAATATCTTCTAGAAACAAAAGAAAATGCATCAGTATATTGTTCATAGTTTATTATGTTCAGAAAAATCTACGAATTGTGTGCAATGATTATGACTGTCTGTGGATCAAAAGACTGAAGTTTGTAAAAAGAGATGCAATGTTCTTGGGTTGTAGAACTATTAACTCAGACATCCAGGATTTGGACTTGCACATTTAATCATTCTTCTACATTAAGTGCTTAGGTCGGTAGTTGAAATAATCTAGTCATTGTTTTCACAATTAGGGAAACATGGACATAAGTAGTTATAAGAAAAATCACTCTCAGATTTAAATGATTATAAAAATCAGCCTGAACCAAAGACACAAGATAGCTATTAGAAAAGTCAAATGCACTTTGAGCAACATGGCTCCAGGGAAACAATTCTCTTAGTGTAAATCAAAACACCACTTGGGGTGGTATCAGTTTTTTATTAAGAATTTCATACATGTACATATTTTGATTAAACCTACGTCTCATTTTCTTCCCTCCATTTGTTCCCCATAGCCCCTACCACTTCTCTGCCCCAACTCTTTTGATTATTGCCCTTCCTCCTTACAAGGCTCAGAGATCAAGAGCCAGAGGTGGCAGACATCTTCAGTGAAACATAATTTTCTGGTCATAACAGAACCCTTGAACACATGAACTCACAGTGGCTGTGACTGCATGCACAAGGTTTACAGAAGATCAAGCCTGCCAAAATCCCAGTATTGACAGTGAGGAGTTAGGGAAATCTCCTCACTGAGATGATGTTGGCAATTGATGGCAGGGAAAGTCAGTCTTCTTCAGAGATGTATCCCCTCATAGGCTGTCCATACTCTAGTAGACAGTCCTGTATCCATGAACATACAAATAGCACGAAAGACCCTTTAAAACTCTATTATGTACAAAGAGAGCAATATTAAGATTTATGAAAGATCTTCCAGAGTTTCTGGCTTCAAATTAATCTGACAGTGTTAGTTGAGTCCTGGGAAGAGATACTGTGGTAAAATGTCAAACAAAACAGAGTTACGTTGAGAAGAGTAGTGGCCCAAAGAATTTAGGCTATTCATCCCAAGGAGGAAACATATTGAGAGTAGGATAAGGTGTGATTTTGTTGCCAAACACATTTAGATTCCTAGTTTGGGGCACACATCTTGCTGGGATCACAGGTATAGGGAGGAAGTAATTAATGGCTTCCCAGGACATCATAGTTCAGCGACTGAGACCCTGATTTTGAGGACCTCACAATCAACCAAGATATGATGGATGGAGTACTGGCAATGCATATAGTAGAGCGACATCTTGGGACCAGATCTTAGGGTTGAATAGAATGCTTCTGTGTGTTTGGAATGGATCAGGGAAGAGGAGGAATTCGTAGCTTTCAGAAAAGAATTTAGGAGTTACTATGTTGGGTAGGAAATGAACTTAAATTTGAGGTAAAGAAGGGAAAGGAATGAGAGAGGGGAGAGGAAGGATGGAAAGAGAATTAGAAGAGGAGAAAGGAAGGAAGGACTTGTGAAATAAAGAAAGAAAAAGGGAAGGAAAGATAAGGACACAAGAAGGAACTTTAAATTACTGTAAACAGCAGAGATGAATCTTGTTTATATGTTAATAGATGAATTCCCTTCTAGTGCAATGAAAAAGGAGACAGCAGATATTAAAATTGGTTATCTAAAGATAGTTAGCTCCTAGAACTGACTGTGTCTCCCATTTCATGTGGGCGTTGTGGGCAAGGTTACTGCTTTGGTGAAAGGTGGAATCTGATGAATTTTAAGGTCAATCTGAATTTTGAGAATCTGTTCCTGGCATGAGTGACTTCCAGAATTAGAAAGAGCTGCTTACAGGAAACACTGGCTTAGTTTCTTCTCTAGATATTTACAGGAATTAGCTTTATTTTTTTTCTGTCTTAGCCCACCAGTGCCTTCTGGAGGAGGCCTTGCTCATGCATTCTCATCCTGTCTGCCTGAGTTCATTTCAGGACTGTGGACTGTCTACAGAGAAATCAGTCTCTAAACCTCCAGTGAGCAAGTCGAGTGGTGTGAAGATGAGAGCTGAGAGACAGACAGCACCATGCTTTCTTCTTGTTTTTGCTGCTGTCATTTATTTTATTTTGGATATTATAATATTACATCATATCACCCTTCCTTCCGTCATTCCAAAGCCTCCCATATACACCATCTTGATCTCTTTCAAATTCATGGCTTCTCTTGTCATTAATGGTTGTTACATGTATATATGTGCACACAAGTGTACACACATATGTAGAGGTGCTTACATATATATTACTAAATATAATCTGCTCAGTCAGTATAGTGTCATGTGTACATATGTTTTCAGGGCTGATCATTTAGTATTGGATAAGCAATCAGTATGCTTTTCCCTAGCGGAGACTATTTCTCCCACCCTCTCTTGCTCTCACCATGCCTGAGTTGCCTGTAGCAGTGTAGTTTCTACAAAGCTAGTTTAGTTTCAAGAACTTCAGCCTCAGCCTGAAGGATGGCTAGACACTTCTTACCTGGTCCTGACAATCACTGGTCAAGAGCTATACATCATGTCACATGATGATGTCTGTGCTTTACAGAGGAGTCTTTAAATCCTAATTACTCTATGATCATCTCCAATCTTTTCTTTCTCTATCTTTGACACAGTAAAAATAATAATAATAAAAAATGCCATGTGGCAGAATCCAGGAATACTGGATTCTCTTCATTGTATTGTCAGTTAACATCTGTGTGAATTGAATTCTCCTGTCAGGGACTTGGTTTTCTTTTCTGCTGGTACACTGTGAATGATGCATTAAATATTTAGGTTCAAACACCAGTCTCGAGCTTTTCAACTATGGCTTGCAGAAGCTTAGATTCAGGAACACTCTCTGATTTAGTGGAGCCCACATTGGAGAGGAGGCTCTCCAATTACATTTCCATGTTTGGCTGAGGACACCGACGGTATCACCCAATTTCAGAGAAAGCTTAGATATTCTTGAAATTCCCTTTTTTCATTTTAAGACTATAAATTTGTAATCCTGGTTTTTTTCTTCTTTAAAACCACAGTGATTTTCACACACACACACACACACACACACACACACACACACACACACACACACACACACACACACACACTACTCTTTAAAAGGCTTTTACGCACCATAGCCCATGTGGAAAAATTCAATTCACCTGTGATTACAGGCGACATCATTTTATTTTAACAATTTCTCCTTATAATGCCTCTCAGGTCGTTTAGAGAAATGTCAAAAAATAAAAAAGCTCAGAGGAATTAAGTAAACATTCAGCTAAGCCAGTGTATAACCTTTCTCCATTCTATTTCTCCCATCTACCTGCCCTTCTAGCTCAAATATTCTCCTTTTTATCCCAAACATTTAAGCGAGGAGAGAGGGAGAGAGAGGGGGAAAGAGAGAAAGAGGGAAGAAAGTGAGAGAGAGTGAGAGAGAGGGGGAGAGAGGGGGGAGAGGGGGAGAGTCCCATAAGCACATTTCTAAAATGATTCTATTTTTAAACACTTGCAGTTCATCTCAATTGTACTCAAATTCAATTCGCTTGTGATTGTCTCCTGTATTATTTGCTTTATCAATTTCTCCCCAGACTCAGTGGGGTAGTGATTGAAATTTGAAAGCTTATGGGGGGAATAAAGTCCAAAGCTTATTGAAGAAAATGTGTCTTGAGTCTGCTGGCTGCCAAGAAGCCCCAGCTTTTCCTCAATACTCAGTCCACTTTAGCCTAGTCTCTTGGCAAACATCATCTAGCCAGAATGACTTAGGATAAATTTAAATGATTTTTTTTTCTCCTTTGTCAAAATGAGTATTTTTCTCTGTAGCCTTACGACGTTTTAGTTTTTCACTTTTGCATCGTGAACTTGAGATTTTGGTTAATGTGGCCTTGCATTTGGTAGGCATTTGGTGAAGTAAGAAATGATACTGAGCCATGCAAGTTAATCAGTCACTATAGCAATTGGATCCCTCTTAGGGGTGAGAAGATACTAAATCTGCTCCAAGACTAGTTTTGTTTGTAAATATCAATATAATCCTGACTTTTTTCTTTATGTTTAACATAGAAAGTAAGCAGTAGTCTTATTGCATTTTCATAAATGCTTAGTTTGGTTGGTCCTCACCAGTTCCTCTCCCCGTCTCCTTATGCCATAACCCCTTCTACATTCTTCCATGGCTAGCCTCCCTCTTCTGCTTGTATTAGATATGTGCTACCTTCATCTTTCTCACATGTTTCCCCTCTCAGATGCAGATCCTAGCCTCTAATGTTTTTGTCTGTGTATTTATGTGAGACAGTGTGTGTGTTAGAGGCCACGAAACTAGAACTTATTTTTAATAAGTTACATTAGTATCATGTTTGCCAAATTCATAATTTGGTTTAATTTTAAATTCATTACTAGTGTTTCTCATGCAGAATTCAGTGTACAAAATAACCACCATTTGTAAGAGTGTGATGAAAAGAGAAGAAATAACAAGATAAGTGCCTACAATTCCATGTAAAGATTGTGTGTCCCAATGTTTATTGTGCATATTCATTAGGTCATTAGGTTTTAGAGATTGGTGTATTTAAATTTTTATGAGATTTACTTAGCCTGTGCATTTGAGTGGTTTGCTTACAACTGTGAGTGTGTACTCCATGCATCCCTGATTCTGTTAGAGGGTGTCAGATCGTGGGGGACTGTGGTTGTGGATGCTTGTGGGTCAGCATATGGTGTTCAGGTCCTCTGCAAGAGTAACAACTGCCCTTAACTGCTGAGCCATTTGCCCTGACCCAATATTTATTTATTTTTATTTATGTGGGTGGCTGTAGAGGCCGGATAGTATGTCAGCTTCCTAGGAGCTGGAGTCACAGACAATTTTGATTCATCTGAGATGGATGTTGGGATGCCACCAAATCTGAGTCCTCTTCAAGAACAGCAAGTGTTCTTAACCACTGAGCTTTTTCCCCAGCCTTGAATGAGATCTTTCTTACCCTTCATGTCCAAGACCCCCATCTGTTTCCAGAGAAGTCTCCCCATCTGGTAATGACCTCCCCTATTCTATATCTCAACACTTATGACATCTTTGTGGAGTGTCTTCCTGGCCTTTACTTTTGGACCTCTTTATTTTAAAAGCAGCTGTTGAACACTCAGGCTTGCTTATATGGGTCTGAGCATTGAAGTTGAAAGAGCATAGAATGATGGTTTAGAATTGGAGACTTTTTTTAAAGTGATGGGTTGTCCAAAAACAACTGGTCAACACTCCTTCAATGTACACTGAAGACTTCCGTATCATCGTGAAAACTGAGACTTTATACTACTCAATTCTGCTGCTACACATCTGTCTTTTCCTTCTACCTCTACTTAAAAGCCTGCCCTTAGTTAGTTCAGTCTTCCACTTCCTAGATACCTCCTCTTACCATTACTTTCCCACTCAATGTCCATTTCTGTATTTTTTTCCTCTAATTCTAGTTAAAGTTCCTAGAGTTTATTTGGACATCGGGCAATTGTAGCACCCAAGAGACCCCATGATCTGTCACTAGCAGGCTAAACGGCAGGTAAGGCTGCATATGTAACCCTGCTTGGATTCCTGAGACCTGCCTGGGGACCAGCAGCACTGGTAGACGAGGTTATAGGATAAATGAGCATCTCAATTCAGAGAGAATAAAGTTACTCTTCACCCACTTCTACTCTATCATGGGTTTGGATGGTACCTACCTACTCTAGTGAGGATAGATCTTCTTTAACCAGTTTACTGATTAAAATGTGGATGTTTAAAAAATAACAACACCCCCCAAACCACAACCTGACATGGTACTGTATGGTCTCTCTGGGCTTTGCAGAGCGATGGTTGTCTAAAGTAACCAT